GGGCCCCCCCCCCCCCTACATCAAATGTGCCAACTCCACCATCCCCTTTTATATTTATCATTTTTTTTTGGATTGGCAGATTTTGGAGATTTCAACGAAATTTTTTGTCAGGTCCGTTCAAGCATCAGGCGCGGTCAGATTCTACCTGGGGTCCAGTGCAGGACGACCTTAGCCACTTCAGCTGCGATGCTAAACCTGGTTCAGATGCTCTTCTTATAGCAAGGAAATATCAGCTTATGGACACCAGTGTGCAGGTATTATAATAAGAAATAATCAGGGGCGTACACAGGAATTTTCAAGGGTGTGTGGGGTTAATTTTTTTTCTTTTCAAGGGGGGTTTAGCAGCCGTTGGGGCCTAACAGAACCAGGANGGGGGGGGGGTTATCACTCGTAGCCCCCTTTGTACGCCTCTGATAAATATTATATTTGCATTACAATATAGTTCATGGAAATCTAGCTTGAGCTGATGTACTACAAGAAGTACATTTTTTGTCATGTTTTACTTCGGGGTAAATCCCAGAACTCAACATTTGATTGTTGCTTTCCATAATAAATTAATAAATGATGTCAAAATTTGAAAAAACTATGATATCTACTATCTGGGGCGTAATTAATTTGTTGTGCGTTACTTCTAACAGTTTTTTGTTCTTTAACTTTTTCTCATTCTTCATTTATAAATATTGTTTATTGAAGGGGAGCACCAGACTACCCCTCTACCAGGAGACCATGACGAGGTTCCAGCAGATAGCCGTGGATAGTGTACCCACCAAACACCAGGATAATACTAACATTCATATCATCTTTATCACAACAGAAACAGGAGTCATCAGGTCAGATTGGTTCATAATGTCATTTTCCAGGTCTTTAAAGGGACTGTTTTGTAATTTTAAGTGACCCCATTTAAAAAAATACTCGTCCTATTCACAGAGTTAAATTCTGACAACTTCCTCGATTTTTTTTCTGCAAGACTTTTATTGAGAAAATCTTATTAAAAAGAAACAAATTTTCAAGAGAATAAAAATTATATTTCATTCATTCTTTATCAGACAGAGGTTTTAATGGGACCTAAATTGATGGTCACGTGAAAATTCGATTTTTTTAAAGGTTTTAGGAATGGGTAATTGGACTTGTATGGAAGAGTTATTTGGTTTGTGTATGTGGGGGGGGGGTTTATTTGCTAACTGGGGGGGGGGGGGGTTAAACTAGTTATCGTGCAAATATCAAGAATTGGATTCATAGAAATTTGCAGAGCAAAAGGATTGGTTGGCGTGCAAATTTATTGGCAGTTAAGTTTTATTATGTGTGCAAACTCTACATCTCATGGCTTTGTTTTTTTAACTGCCTAATATTTAAACTATTTTGTTACCAAGACATAAAAAATATATATTCTTAAATCAAAGCAATATTTTTCTTGAATTTTGGTTTTTTACTTTCCAACTCTTTGGTGTTAAGAAATTTTAAAAATAATATTATTTAATCTTTTTACAACTGGGGGTTAAACATTCAGGTTAATTTTAATCCTAAGGTATAAAAATGTCCGAATTCAGTTTTGCTTGGATAGATTAAATAATGCGTTACAAGTTTTAAATCATGCATTAATTTAATCACCCCTAATTTGGCGGTGTCCTTTACAACGATCAAATGCACTTTTCTGCATTTTCAAAATAGCTTAATAAAAGATAGGTTAAGATATTGCAAAATGAATGAAATATATCTAAGAAAACAAAATAAAAAAGCGAGTATTTTGCAAATATTTTGCCCAAAAAGTTGAAAAATTATACATTAATTTTGCATGACTACTACATTTTTCACAATCGCTTTAAGCTAAATGTAAAGTATTTTAAACCCTAGAGAATTAGTTGGATGTGGTGAAAATTTTAAATATTTGTTCTTAAACATCAAATTTCTTGTTGGTGTACAAGTGAATGAAAGGGGATTGAAATTTATTAGCTGGGAGGGTAAGGGGGATGGGCTAAAGGAGAGGGGGGGGAGGAGGAGGTTGCTTCTCAATTTTCCCGTTTTTCGTGTGTTGTAACAAGTGTGTCGACTGTGTCGTGTTAATTTAATTGAATTCTGGATTCTTGACACTTTAATAATTGCATTTTAACTCAAATCTATTCTCAAGTCCCGGGGGGGGGGGGCTCAATTATTCAGTTTTTAATTTTCATTTTCATGGTTCTCATATACATATATTGCATGCACTTAAATTTTTTAGAATCTGGCCATAAAATTCTGTAACATATCACTATTTATGGGGTCTAAAAGTCTAACCTAATTAAGACTTCGCAAGTAGATAGTTTAAGTTTTTGGTATTTTTTCCGGGTTTTTTTGGTTTCCTTTCTTCGTCTAGATTGCAATTTATTTCATATGCATTGCAATATACGTCAATCCCTATGTTGCATATTATTATACCCATTTTTCTTACAAACATGCAATATATGGCTCCATTTATAACTGAAATTAGCCTAAATATGTCCGTATTGGAAGATTTTTGAAACTTTCTATGATTATACTTTTACATATTAAAATATATACATTTTATTTTAAATAAGAGTTTTTTCTGCTTTACCCTAAAATATTTCTTTTAACTCCTCCCCCCTGTTTCCCCCCCCCCAGCACGCAATATTGCACTGGGATGACTAAAATTAGTCCAAATATGCGCTTATTAAGATTTTTACAAATTTTGACTTTTTCCTTCAACATAATAATAGGGTAAGGGAGGAGGGGGGAAGGGGGAGGAAACAATGAAATAGTAAATTATTCAAGTTTGGTTAACTTTATCATTTAGTAAAGATAAATAAAGGGTTGATAACCAAAACATTTAAGAAATTTGACTTCTGACTTTTTCGTATATTTTTTTTCAGTTGAGATTAGACTCGAAGCTTTTGGGATTTTTTTCGGGACTCCCCCTGTATCCATATGAAATATGATTCACTTGAAATCTGAAATCTTCAGGATTTAGGATTGTGGCTCTCTGCTTCTTCTTGGAAAACATTTTTATTTCCTTTTAAGAAAAGAGGTGTTAAGTTACAGACACCTTCTCCCCCCACCTCCCCTTCTTTATTATACTAAACCCCCTCAGCACTTATTATTACCCCCTCTCCCTTCTAACGTTTCAATCTATTGTTTCACAGTTTTTGTCAATAAATGTCTTAACTTTTTAAACCAGTGACCGAATTTAATGTATTTGAGCTACAAGTCGCTCAACTGCTTACTACCGTTTCAAATTTGAACCACCGATTCAAAGTTTAAGATTTAGGAAGGTTTTAAATCGGTGGTTCAAATTAGAATTGGTGATAGGCAGTTCAAATTCATTAAATTCGGCCCCTAGACTTATAAACCAGGACTGAAAAAGCCCATTAAAATTGTTTCATTCCTTTTTAATAAGTTTTTTGTTCTCTTTCAGGAAGCTCTCTTTCAACCCTCGGAGTGGTGAGACGTGTCTTGTTGAGCTCCTACACCCGTTCCCTAGCGGAGTCAGAAAACGGATACGAGAGATGAAAATACTCTCAAATACGGCCTCGCTTTATCTAACCACCGACGAGGCTGTCCTCAGAATACCGGTCCAGAGATGTCACAGGTAGATTTGTAAACATGTATTTTTACGTAATTGTATTCATGTAGAATTTGAAGAAGAAGATGCAAAAAAATAGACGAAAAGTCTTATTGGAAATTACTTGTTGGTTGGTTGGTTGTTTGTTTAACTGGTTTATGAATGCCGGGATGTTGGCTGGTTGATTGATTGCCTCGTTGGCTAGTTGTTTGATTGGGTGTTTGTTTGGTTGGCTGGTTGATTATTGTTCGGTTGGTTCATTGTTTATTTGGTTGACTGAGTATTAAGTTGATTGATTTAATGGTTGGCAAGTTGTGTGATTGGCTGGTTTTTGTTTGGCTGGTTGTTTTGGTGGGCTGGTTTCTTGGTTGGCTAGTCGTTTGTTTGTTTGTTTGATTTGTTTGTTGGTTGGTTGAATTGTGTTTATGCAGTTTATGAATCTATTCAGTATTAGATAATCAAAATTGTTTGTGTTTAAAATCAGATAAGAAATCTATATTCATCCATATCCGGCCTTTATTAAATATGGTTCATTTACTTCACTATTTCAATTCAAAATTTTAGATGTAGTAAATTAATTAACTCATACAATACTAGCGATTTTTTGTGTACAATTCAATTGTTCAAGGTTTACAACTAAGAAAGACTGTTTGAACGGTATGGACCCGTACTGTGGCTGGAATAGGAACAAGGAGGAATGCACCACTGCCCCCAACAAGAACCCTAGGGTCGCCTACTGGCAGCAGAATGTCATCACCTGCCCTGTCACCACGGATCCCGTGGACGGCGGTTGGTCCGAGTGGACTGCCTGGGATCAGTGCGCATTTTCTAACCCTGATCGGCGGGTGGAGAGCGGCGGAGATTACTGCATGTGTCGACGGCGAAGTTGTGACCAACCGAAACCGGCGAACGGCGGATCTGGATGTGAGGGTCCAGGACTTGTTGTAACCAACTGTACACAACACGGACAATGGACCCGATGGTCCGAATGGTCCGGCTGTTCCCAATCCTGCGGCGTGGGCCTGAAAACCCGCCAAAGATTTTGCGGAAATCCTGAGCCTGCTTTCGGCGGTAGGGTTTGTGTTGGACGGGATCGGGAAGAGCATTATTGCGACGATCTACCACCGTGTCCTGGACAGATGGCGAGCAGCTTAATGATCCAGGAGAGGACGGATCTTCCAACATGGTCTCAATGGTCGGATTGGACAGCTTGCAGTGCCAGATGTGGTTCAGGTTGGTCATTCTTTCTTTCATCTCAAATTCATCCTTTTGTATTTACTCCTCCTTTTTTTCTAGGCAAATCATAAGTAAAACAACAGAAATACCGTGTTAAAACCATTTAAAACCATTTTGATGCACTTTACACAAACCTTATCAGGATTCTTATCATATTTGAAAGCCCCGCCCCTCCCTGTCACTCCCCCCCCCCCTTCTCTTCTCAAAATAGGTTAAAACCATTAAAATCTAGCTCCACCCATTACTAAACACAGCCATTCTGAATACAGATAAAATTCTGTAAACTGACTTGTTATTCACAGTTTTAATATTTTTCCGAATGAACAATATACTTTTTGCTTCTCTAGCTGATAAGTTTAATTTTGATAAATTAAAGTTTGATACCATACGACAGCTTTTTGTTGGCTTTAATTGTTTTATTAAAATGATGAATTATTTCATTCTCTCTTTTCCCAATCCTTATCGACTAGAGGTGTGCATGCAGAGCATTATTGTAAAAAAATACAATTCGACTTTACATTTTTCTTTCCAATATTCTTGAACAGTTTCCATCCAATTTAGTATATTTAAAGAATATATCAATCTTAAGTATCCAAGTATTCAATCTCAATTTGGAATGACAGAGATACAGCATTCCTCCCAACCCCAACCCCTCCACTCGTATCTTGATTTGGTGTGTTGTGTGTGGGTTGAAACCTATAAAAACAGATTATATTCAAAATAAAATAGCGTTTTATCTTATTTTCCAAACATATGCTTTTTATTTTAGAATATGTTTATTCCTCCCACTTCTAGTTTTTATTTACAATTCAAATTATTTAACTTTACAAAACAACCGCACAAACCCAGTTCAAAAATCGAATCCACCCTTTAAAAAAGAGGATTATAAAAACAATTTTATGTCCTCAATTCAAAAACATAAAGCATTTTTCAATAACTGTAGAGCCTTTCAGGGGAGTATATTTTCTCGAATATCATTTCATACCTTTTTTAAAATCATTTTAATCCCCATCAAAAAGAATTTGAAAACTTAACTTTTAATGTCCCAGTTTTCATTTCTGAAAACTGAGTTTTTTCTTCATTTTGTTTGTTAGCTGGTTTTATGATACAGGTATATCAGCACTATTTAAGATTAAAAATCATCATTTTTACCCTAAAGCTCCAAACCCCCCTCCCCTCCCTGCCCTCAAATACTAAATATTTAAGTGAACGGTTTACAACACTATATTTGGGTCGGTATACTCAATATATAAAGGGACTATTCACAGTTTTATGCATTTAATAGGACTAAGCACAGTTGCATGCATTTTAATGCAGTTTTAATGTGCTAAATGCTTCATAAACCATATTTAAGACCAGAGGTTAAAACAAAGGAAACAATTTTATTATTTTTTAAGAGAGAATTTCCTCTGTATTTAACAAATGCGGGGGGGGGGGAATGACCACAAACTTTTTAATTTATCGACAAACTTCCCCTTTATTTGACCTTCTACACTTTTATCTATGACATTTGATCTGATTATTCAAGAGTTCGTTAAAAATTAACTGGTTAACAAACAAATCAGTAGACTTGATTCCCATGCAGTATACACTGTACAGTTTAGTCTTTGGGCAAGGCAGTTGTTTTTATGGACAACAAATTCGTAAACATTTTAAAATACATAAATTACCAAAAAATAGATATGAAAAAGGGATACATTCTATCTCATCAAGTATAAAAGAATATTTATAAACCGACTTTTCTTTTCCAGGATTCCGATCTCGAGCTCGAAAATGCTACGGAATCGGGTGTAGTGGGTGTGACCGAGAGTGGGCTGAGTGTGAAAACCCCGCCTGTGCCGACTATACCGACGTGACCAACTGGACTCCTTGGATTAACACGACTCAGGTATCTTTTTGTCTTACATGTTATTAAAAATTGTTATTACAAGGGCCGCAAGTTCTTATTAAAAATGAACAACCGCTCACAGTTTTAATTTTAGAAAAGAAGTAAAAAGTAACAAGTGTTATTTTTAGTTCTCGTCGTGTTAATATTGGTAAATAGTTTTTTAATTGGCACAGGAAGAGTTACTGAAACATTGATCATAATATTTGTTCCAAAACCTGACAGTGTCAGGTTCGGCGCATAAGCACGGTTCGGAACTTGCGTCCCCTATATTAAAAAAGGGAGATGTACTCCCCCTTCATATCCTGTCTTTAAAGTGAACTTGGGATGGAAGAAATCGCCCCCCCCCCCCTTCCATTATTGCTTCCCATGTTATAAAGGATGTGTAAACGTATTAAAGTGTGAATGCTTACTCCAATCAAGATTATGTTGAAGCACGTTTCAATATTTGTTTATCTGTTTGTTTGTTTACACACAGTGTCCTGGTAAGGTACTGCAAACATCCTGTAGGATGGAGGGAGGGGGAATGAAGGAACAGGTAGCGGGGAGGAAGAACCCATGATAAGAATTAATTTTCGCGGATTTTCAAATTTCTAGTTTGCGGATTTTTATGTTTTGTTGTTTAGGACGCGGGAGGATGGTACGAGAAGAGATTTACGTTCACCTACAGGTCTCCTGTGGCTATCAGTAAGGTGAGAAAAGTTCTTAATCTATGTATCATATAACATGGAAAACTTGGACTGACAAGAGTCTGTCAATTCAAATCCATCAAATCGGATTAGATTTGAATTACGACACCGTGTTCTTCACATGTCTCATCCACCGGCTTGTGAGAAACGGTACATGGTTAGATATTTTTTCCTGTATCTAGGCAGGCAATCTTTAACTATTTCATTATCAAATACATGTAAATTTCTATATTATACTATACAGTCTGTACATGTCTAGATACTAGTTAAGTATCCGTACATGACTATAGTTTCTTGAATTTACATAAGTTGACAGAGTACAAGGTCAATGATGCATCAATGAATACAAATATACCACAAATACCAATCTTAAGGAGTGCTGGGTTTGGGGTTAAAGCTTAGAGGGGTGAAAATATAAGTTTGGGTGGGGGTATCCTTGGTTTGGTGTATGCAGTTACAGCCTTTTTTCTGACCCTAGTCAGTGCTTTGAATTATGATGAGAGGTGGATAGATAGATAGATAGTTAGATAGGTGCTAAACTTTCTCCTTATCCTGTCAAACCACACTAGACATTAGACAAGTAGATGGACAGACATGGTATTTTGAGACCATATTTATTTAAACCCTAACAAGATATCAGAAATCCATAAACTCCTTCTAGAAATCGGGGTGGAAATCCCGCAACAAATGTTTAAGAATTATGGTTTCTGAAATCTTTAATCAAGGAATCCATTCATCCATAATTTAACCATAAACTCACTTGACCTTTGTAGATATATGATTTCTTCAAAATCAATCAGTTTCTTCATTCTGGAATATTCAAGTTTCAACATCATTATTATGGTTTCGCTCACACCTTTGCCCCATCTGCCCCCCCCCCTCACGAATAATTCAAACACGCCCAAAATTCCTGATTATATCAGTGTTGGTTTTGGTCCGTGACTTAGAATCAGACCCGAGGATTTATAAGTGTATTTACTAAACCTATGAAAAATCCCGCGAAACCTTGACTCTTGAGAAATGGAAATATACAAAATCCACGAATTTGGTTGAGTAGAGAGTTACATTTCTAAAGACGGGGAGGTTTAAGTAGATTTTATGGAGAGGATTAGATGCTTTTAATGTTAAAAAAAGACGGTTGCCTTAGTATTTACACTTTTGAAACGTTCATAAAAAAGCTTTCATGGCGGTTTTAGAGAAAAACGAAACCAACAAATTTCCATTTATTTTAACCTTCAAGATCTGATTCTGGAGCAAATGATAATATTTTGATAAAATTTGCATATGTAACAGTGTTGCTATTGGGAAATTTACGAAATCTAGTTAAAATTTATTAATATAAGGGATATTTTTATAAAAGAAGAATAATGAGAAATGGATAGAAATGAATAGTCTGTAGCTTTTCAGCGAGGATGCTATGGGGGTAAACCTCCCCCCCCCCTCAAAAAAATGTCTAAAAACGTTGACCCCCCAGACAAATTCCTGTATACGCCCTTTAAAGTTGATTTCAAGGATATACGAATTGGAAAAGCCTGATGTTTTTATTAAAACAACTATTTATTTGTTTAAAAACTGGAAAAGTTCATGTGATGGCGTCGTATCGTCTAAAAGAAAAACAGATATTAAATGATAACAAATTTATGAAAACAAATATATTTATACGGTTTTTATGTAAGATTGTGGGAGGGGGCGCTAAGTTTGAACTCGAACATAATTTTTCGAATGTAAACCTTGAGTATATATATTTTTGAATTGTCATCTTTAAGTTATCGACTATAAATGCATCTAGCTAGGTCATTTGTTTGCAAAGTTGTAACGACACACATTCACTTTGTTTATTTGTTTGGGTTGAATGTAAACAACAGGATGTACACACTTACACTCATTCTAACCTTTTACAACCACACCATAACCCCGGGGGGGGGGGAGGTCTAGTGGGTTAACCTTCTAACTAGTTAGATAAACAAAATTTTAAAAGTCATCCTCTATCAATGTACTTTTTTATCAATCATGTATTATTCATAGATTTTTTAAATGTCATCTTCAAATTTTGCAATTTAAGCAATATTATGTTTTTCAAAATGAATTTAAAGCTATTGCCTGGGCTGTGGAAATGTGGGGGGATTAAAGGAGGAACTTTCAAAACAAAAGTTTCAAAATGAAATATTAAAGATTAAGTTGGTGATTTGTTCGGATTATACTTTGACAGCTCACATTAATAAGAATATGTGCCAGTAGCACATTCATTCTTGTTTATTCATTAATTCATCAATCTTATTTGATTATCTTGTTTATCCATTATCCATCCTCTTATTTATTTATTTATTCGTTTATTCGTTTATTCGTTTATTCGTTTATTCGTTAGTTCCTGCCGACCGACTCTTATTAACCCCATTTGGCCCCTTCAAAATTGTTCATCTCTTAGTCAGACTGCAGATTCAACTCTGATCTGCCATATTTGCAAATCTTTTGTGCAAGTTCCAAAACCATGCACTTTGATCTTTTCCCGTAACTTCTCATGATAAAAATCTTTAAATATGGTCTCATTGCATTAAACGAATCTGATCTAAGTTTTTCATAAAAAAAATCTTATACCTACATTTTACAGCAAGTTCTTTTGATTTTTTCAATATCTTTTAAAAACGAGTTTTTTTTATATTTTATCATTTCCTAATAATACATCTTCCTTCATTTTAAGATCTCTCCAAAATGCTATCAACACACCTTTATATAGAACTTCTTGGGAACCCAGCTTTGTCTGAAAACTAAGCTTTTCTACAAAAGTCAACCCACTTATCTTACCAAGTTCCTCAATCAAAGTTTGAGGCAAATCGGCCTAGGGGTTCATTAGTTATGATCGGACATACACAAAGCTAGACAAACAAACAGTGCTGAGTTATTATATTTAGTACAGTATTAAAGTAATTAAAATCAAGCTTTTTTCTACAATATGAAAGCACATCGATTGATTTGTTTGAATAAGAAAATGTAACTTTTCCTCTTTTTTTATTTCTTTATCTATTTTCTTGTCATTTTAACGGTTTATTTATTTTCTATCTATCTATCATGCATGTTAGCTTGTATGTGGATGATGTAGGATTAAAAACTGAGAGTGAGGATTAAAACATCTTTAAGGATTAAAATATAAATCCTTAAGTTCGTGTTTAGTCTTCAGTATCTTACAAATATAGATATTTGTTGTTGACTGCATGCGGGGGTAAAAAATGGGGGAAGGGGGGGAATTTTAAAAGGCGTTTAAAGAGGGGTGGGGCTATGGGTGTTTAGCCTGGATTAGTAAAATTTATGATTTCTAGGGGGTTTCAGGCTCCTAAGTGTGCTGACCCCTCCCCCCCTCCCCGGAAAGAAAGCTGAAAAATTCCTGTATACTCCCCTGGAACTTATTTCCCCCCACCACCCATTAATGTTAACCTTGTAAAGATTTTAATTTTCTGATAAAATATATAACGGATACAGTTGTTAAGTATGGATTCTATTAGATATAGATATTATTTGGTATCAAGCAGTATCCCCACCCCTGCAATCCCGTCATAAGTTGTATTTATGGCCACGATATTTTCTAAGGCCGAAGCTTAAAGAGGCGTGGCATGTGTGCCATGAATTTTAACTTTTTTATTCAAAATATTGTTCAATCTAATAAACTTTAATATTACGAACAGATGGAAAAACTAAATAATTAGGTGTGGAGCGTGGTGAATTTCTAGTGAAGAGTTAGGTGGGTTTGCTTGAAATAAGATACTAAACATCCTGTCTGCTAGACTAATATATAGGTTTCTTACAATACTTACAATAATATTACAGTAAGAGGGTAACAGTCAACATTTTTCTTTCAAAATATGAATAATAATTGAGATATTAATCATAAAAACAATTATTAGTTTATGACTTATTATTTCTTGTAAAAAAGTGATTAATAAAGATAATAAAAATTCTGATAATTTATTCATAATTTTTAATCTTTATGAATATGAAATTTAAATGCTAACTCGGTTAAAGTTTAAGATAATTTAGCTGTGAAATTAAAGCACTAAAGAAGCCATTTAAATCATTCTTAGAGGGGGTTAACATTTGATGTAGGGTGGAGGGGGGATATAAGGTGGTGGTCGTTGCACCTTCCCCCCGGTAGTTGCTATAATAAGAATTTTTTCCAAGGGGGGGTGTGTGTTTGAACTATTCCTAGAAATCATTTGGCAGGTTCATTTTCAATTTTATTTTGCAGATTTCTGAAAATTAATATTTCCGTTGATTACTCCACCTCATAATAATGCCAGAAGAGGGGGGGGGGACAAAGGGGTGCGTGCCCCCTTTCTAGAACAAATAAAGTCCTACAACTCTTTCACTTACAGGCCTGATATCTGTTAAGATATTTTCTTTTAAAAATGATAAAAATGAATTATTTCTCAGATCAAATTTCTGATGATGCTACAAATTAATAGAATTAGACCCATAGGAGCCACAATTATACATTCATCTAAATGTTTGAAGTAAAAAAAAAAACAATATTATTAAATTATTGAATATTAAAAATTCTATAATCCAATTGTAGAGCCCCTGGTTTAGTTACCATTGTTAAAAAGGTTTATTGCTAAGGAATATAATAAACCTATAGTAAGATATATATAGAGCATATATATATCGGCCTTAGGTTTAGGGTGTTTGGCGTAATTAATCTAATTTATTTTCAACCCTAATCCCCCCATTATTTTGGGGAAGGGGAGAGGGTAACGAGCTATATTTGAAGGTGCACGATTTTGTAGAACTTTAGTTGAATCTAGAAACAAACCAATTCATTTTACAGAAATTTATGTTCATACATTTTTAGAATTTGTTGACGGGGTAGGGAGGAGGGTGACAAGGGTTTTAGTATAATTTCAGATTCTGTAAAAGTAATTAAGCATGCTTACTTTTTTTACATGGGTGTTGCCGAGATTATGAACATAAATATATTTCTACTTTGGTTGATTAAAATTTGGGAGGCTGTAGGCTCACAGGGTGTTTTAAAAATAACGTTTTTAACTTTTTTATATTTATTTTTTTCAAGAAATACATTTATTTTTGAGTTGATATGTTAGTAATTGCCAAAATAAGAATCTTAATGGTCCAATCTATTTTTGGACATCTTTTTGTTGCGTGAATAGTGGAAAGATGTAGAATGGATTAATGGTGTTGAATAAAAACCCATCTTGTCCAGATTTTCAAGTTTGTGAAATAACGAAGTCAAGTCAGATTTTAAACGTTTTTATTTTAGGCTGGAAGGATTGGCGAGGAAAAGCGGTACTGCTATGGACCTGAAAGATGCACAACCGTCGGTGGCGGACGGGCAGAGGCGGTTCCGGAGGATTTTACCGAATGGTCGGCCTGCAGTCAGGCCTGTGGTGGAGGGAGGCAGTTTAAACTCCGTCTATGTCTGAAGGACCAAGAGAATTGTATAGGTAAGGTGGATAAACGGTCGATATATTCTGAATTCCACATTTCTTCAAATTCACAAAAATTTCAATTCTTATTGTCCACCTGAAAAAAAAACAAAAAATGAAAGTTTGATGATTTCGATTTTTATTTAAGGAATTTAAGAACATTTTAATGAATATTGTTTGCATTGAGACATATCCTAGCCTTCAAATCCATAACAAAATGTTTTCAATCAATCTTATTTTTCAACATGCGTTTCCTTTATGTTTTACAATTAATCTTTTGTTTTTGTTTTATACTGACGAAATGAAGGATAAGATATGTAAACAGAAAACTAGACAAAATATTTGATAAAAATTTTCTCATGATGAGAACACACAAATTGAAATTTTAAACGAATATTAAATATTATATTTTATTCTAGGTCACAGTTTGGTTGAGCAGGAGTGCAACACCCAACCCTGTCCTGGAACCTGGGGCTGCTGGTCACCCTGGTCAAGATGCGCCGGCGGAGCCAGAACCAGATCCAGAGAATGCGGAAGTCTGGAAGGCGGAACCGCCGAATGCCTGACCGGTTCCGGTCGAGACGAAGAACCTTGTGGGATGGACGTTCCCGAACTACGAAGCGGGGATGAGTTTGTGGAACCAATTTCGGGAACAATCTCTTTAAATATGATGATAGGGGCCTGTGTGTGTGGTTTTGGGGTCGGTGGGACCCTAGGGGCGGTCCTTGTCTACTACCTTCTAAAATGCCGGAAACCAATTGAAACCGGTGTCACCTCACCGCATTATATCAGCGCTAAATCTCAGAATCTATATGTATCTCTCCCTATGCTGGATCTCAAACACAAGCAGATAAGTTCCAACACAAGCGACTACAGCGGCACGTTGCGCAGTAACGCAACTGGAACGCTGCGGAGCAAAACCGGTTCCTCAGTATATGGCGGGAAACCGGGAGATTATGAAACGGCGACTATTAAGCGAAGCCATTCTAGGCGGGATTCAAGCTTAATTAACGGGACGATACGAGCCGATTTAGATTCGGAACAAATGTTCTCTTAAAACCACAAAAAAATAACCATTTAAGGATCTCAAGAAAAATGTAGACATGAAAAGATTATCCTGCAGTGATAACAAACATTGGAACTAATCCGTGAATCCCTAAAATATTGACCTGGACTAAATCGGTCATATATTAAATAGAAGTCCCAAAACTTTGCTGTGCGAAGTTGTTAAAAGTGTCCTTTTGTTACCGAAGTGCCATTAAGTGCCTATATCGCATTGCTATCATGACATATTAAAGTGCCATTGAAAATTCCATTGTCAGAACTTGTTAAGTATTTAATATTGATGAAATTTTTTAAGTCGCCATTTTATGTTAGATCAATTATAACGACGACTTACTGTAGAAAAGGTGTTCTTTCCTTGTGATTGGAAGATTGAAATTTATTCAAACTAATTTTGGCGGGAATTCTCAAAAGTATGTTGTAAAAGACATGGTAAATTTAAAATATATATCCAATGAAGATGGAGAAGTTTTCGCTGTTTTGGTAGCATTTGAACATAATAACCTCAAAGCTTACCACATCCCTTTTTCTCATCCCATCCCATGCATATGATATGACTTTAAGTACAAATTAGCACGCTTTAGGGTTGAAACAAGTTAAAACAGCGACAAATTCTCTACTGACTTTCAGTAGTCTTATTTTTTAAAGAATTAGTTTGGCAAAACCGATTTAAAAGTCCCGATGCTGAGACCCTGTAGTAAATTATGAAATGTTTTAAACTCTGACCTTTGTTCTATTGTTCTACTGTCATTCTTTCAGAAATAAATTTGAATTATATGTAATTTAGTTTTATCAAGATTCGAAAATATTTATTAGGACAGCTTTGTTCTCAACTAAGAGAAGTTGTTTAAAAATTACAAAGGAATTGAGTCTTTGCCACAAACTCTAATTTTCTAATTACTTTATCTTTACATTCCAATGTCGTAGACCTTACATAGATATTTCAAACTATGAATTTTCTTAGTGCACACTTTCGGCGCTAAACAGTAAATGTAAATATCTGAGGATGTTAATAAGCACTTCTCCTTTCTTTGAGGTGAATTAAACACATTTGTTCCACATTTCTGATCAATCAGTTGTGTTTTAGAACACTTTAGGTCTCCATACGTTATTTCTAAAAAACCCTTGGCTGCTAGAAAACTCTGGTCATCCTCAGATTGTTGGAACACAAGTTTCCTTCTTGGGGAGTGTTTTTAGAATACCAAGGACCCTTTGGACTGTGTCTAGAACACCTGGTCTCCTCAAGGTGTTTCTTAAATTAACTCTTGGCCTCTTAGAAGTGTTTCTTAGACACGTTAAACACCCCTGGTCTAGAAATGTATCCCCCCGTCTGCTATGAAGATAAATCTGTATTTAATGTCGCAACACATGACAAAACTCTCCCTCGGAGACTCAAAGGGGGTAAAATACCCACTAGGGAGCACAGAAAAAAATTAGAGACAAAATGAAATAAAAAACTTTAAAAATGAAATAAAAAAACTTCTTTCAAAGAAGTAGATTTTTTTTGTAACAAATTATTTTTTTCTGTGTTATACTATGATGTGTCATTTGAAATAGCCTAGCAATTATGAAACGGGTATACGTTTTTGCTTTCCTGTAATAGTGGCTGGGGGCCTGGAGGGATGGGGGGGGGGGGAGATGAAGGTCTGAAAAAATACAGAGCGGACAACAAAATTACATGATATATACTGCAAACCAAATAGATTATCAAGTACAAGAGGTGGCAACAGAGAAATGGATCAATTATACACGACGTCACAAGTGTCAAATATAACAAGGAAAACAAAATTGTCTCACATTATTTGACATGTTTTTCAAGTTTAAATAAAAAAGTGTATAAACAGAATAAAATAAGACATTAAATTGCACCTTTTTTACTGTAAGATAAGCTTTTTATTCTAAAATTATCACTATTATTAGTAATTTTGTCGGACACAAAAAATGAGTTGACACTTGTGACGTTAGATTACAGCTGTACTGAGAGTATACAAAAAATACGTTGCCATCTATTGTACTTAACAATCTATTTTTTATTTTGACGACCTCCTGAAACCTTCCCTCATGGGGGAATATAAATTACCATACAAAAATTGGGCCCGATTGGTATAGACGTTTTGACGTTTATTAGATAAAATATAAAGATGCTTTCAAACTTTCCATTTTAATAAATAACTTTATGCCAAAACATATAGGATAAAAATATATGAATAACATTTTTAAGATTTTTGTCTTAACTTTATACTACGCGGAGTTGAGTTAAGGACAGACAATTAGGAACTAAAGAAATAAAAAGAAAAAATGAAACTTAAGGAGAAAATAAAATATGATATGTTATGATTATTAACCTTGCTTTCCCAAAAATACACTGTCATTCTTTTTACCCTTCTCGTTCCATGATAATCTTNCCCCCCCTCCTCTTCTTTGGATTCTAAAAGGTCTATAATGTTCAAAATTTAAAGAAAATAATTGAAAAAAACACGAATTACTAAAAAAACAATTGAGAAACAAACTTACACTTTACGATTTTATTGTTATATAAACTATATTTATAAACTATTTATGCATGAAGTTTTTACATTTTAGTATGCATTATTTTAGGTCTTTGATGAAAAGTAAATGTTTACTTATTGATATGTTTTAAATAGTTTTGACAAATTTAGCAAAGTGTGCTTATCAAAATGGCATAATTTTTTCATACTCAACAGATCATTAAAGTGTAAATTTTTCGAAAGCACGTTTAGAAAAATCCTCAAAGTTTCAAATTGAAATCATCTCTTAATAAAAATATGAACACTGTAAGAGTCTTTTTGTTGCTGTCATCTCACATTAATTTCACTGTAAGAAAAGCATTCATTCATAATGTACCGTCCCGTTATGCCGTTTACAGTTTGATTATACTGTACAACTGTCTCTAGCTGCCTATAAGTCGGTCCGGCACTTTAAATAAACCGGAGTATATTGTGATATTTAATGATTACACATATCTTTATATAATCCTGTAATCTTTATAATCGAAATGTTATGATCTGTTACCGTATCGCATCTCTTGGTATGTTCCTGTAATCTTCATACTCCAAGAGTTTTAGCCTATTAAAATGTTTCATCTCTTGGTCTATTCATGTATTCTTCATTCTCCAACGGGGTTGATCTATTAAGATTACACGTCATTTTTAATTTGAAACCAACCAAATGGGAACTTTGAATCTAATAATGTCTAAAGGGAAATGAAAAGATGGAGGGGGGGGGGGGAAGTTTTGAATTTTCAGATGAGCAAGAACTTATATTTTTTTATAAATAATTGTAATCTAAGTCTTTATTTAAAAACAGAAAATTATGATTAATTAGACCAAAAATGCATTTAATGTATCTACAGGGTTACCCACAATTAGGACTGATTAGACAACTTGAAACTCTTCAAATGTGACGATACCAAGTTTCAGGGAATCATGAATGTAAGGAAACAGAACAATATAAGTTCTGTACAGTCGTCTCTAAAATCTCATCCTTTGTGGGTAACCCTGTATGCCTTTTTCCGGAGACACTTAGTTCAAGGACAAAAAGATTGTTTGCTTTTATTCAGTAACATAAGCTGATATATCAGCTGATATATCAGCAATCAGCATAATTCATTAAAAAAATGCTCTGAACTGATTTTGTGCCAAAGAACAGATTTCTTTTTTAAAAAGTTGAATTTTTGAAAATAAACAAAAGTATTTCTGTTTACATTCTTTACTAATATCACCCAAGCCATCCATGGAGGAGGGAGGGAAGGCACACCCCACCCTTTTTCCGGAAACATTAGGAAAGAAAAACAGTTTTTGCTTTAACATAATTTAGTTTATATCTACCATGCAAAAATATGCTCTGAACCGATTTTGCGCCAAAGAACAGATTTCTTACGAGGAACTTCTGAAAATAAACAAAACTGTTTCTGTTAACATTTTAGCAGTATACTTTTTTTTAAATAAAGATTTGAGAGTTTATGGTATTTTCCTTGTCTTAAAATATGTCTACCCCCCTCCCCCCTATACCACTAAATCTACAGTGGAGGCGAAGGTATGAAGTGTCTCTGTGGGGGGCTAAGTGAAGTATAGTCTCGTCATACACAGTATTGTATCAATAAGTGCATTTTTTCCTTTCAGGGGGAAATAAAACAAACCAAATTCAGAGAATCTGAAAATATTGTGAATTGTCCCTTTATGTTCAGGAATATGTGCACAGTAACCTGTAGAGCAGAAACCGCACTATCTCCAGATATCACGGGAATCATCAAATCCTAAACCAGACTTTTCAAAACTCATTTCATTCACTTGAAAAGACTGTAAGGGTAACTTTAAGTGACCCTCCATGCAAAGTTGACAATGCCTGATTCACAACGGGACCCTAAAAATGCCTGATTCACGACGGGACCCTAAAAATGCCTGATTCACAACGGGAAATTTAAAATCCAAGGTGCTTAGGTCACACACACGCATTGGACCTAGAGGTGTGGTCCCTCACATCTTACAGTGGTGGTCCTGAAAGTAAACAAAAGACGACAGTAAATCACTGCAAAATAGACAAAAGGAGAAAGCAAAATTAATGCGACATCACAGGTACGATTTTGTGACCTCGTGTAGCTCGCTCCTCTAGTTTTAATTTCACTAAAAGGAATGAAAAAAGCAATTTTTTTTAGTCACAAATCAGAAAATAAATACAGTTTTGTTTTTCAAACAAAGGAGTTGTAATTAAAAACATAAAATCATTCAATTATTTCAATCACGTGCAATTTACTTCATTTTGACGTGATAGAGATTTTTAAATTTATTGTTTAACATTTTAATTATTGATATATGCACTTGAAAATACATAAACGATTCACAACAGTTGTTTATGGGAGGGAATAAAATTGTATTGCACAGTGTATCTGAAAGATGGAGGGAATATAACTGTTCTGTACAGTGTATCTGAAGTTAATACAATTGTACAGTGTATCTGAAAGATGGGAGGAAATTCAACTGTATACTGTACAGTGTATCTGAAAAATGGGAGGAAATTCAACTGTACTGTACAACGTGTATCTGAAAGATGGGAGGATATACAACTGTACTGCATAGTGCATAGTGTATCTGTAAGATGGAGGAAATACAACTGTACTGTAATGTACAGTGTATCTGAAGGATGGGAGAGAATTAGAGAGAAATAACTGTACTGTACAACGTGTATCTGAATGATGGGAGGAAATACAACTGTACTGCACAGTGTATCAAAAAGATTGTAAAGAACGTAACTGCACTGTGCAAGTTTACTCTGCACAGTGCACAAGTTTAATTTAAACAACGACTATTTCGACTACCTCTTTTTAAAAAGAAAAGAAATTTTCCAAATGAAAGACGACATTCTGAAGCTGCCTTCTATAGATGCAGTTATTTTCAGAGGTAAAGGAGGTAAAGTCGCACCACAGGTATTTTCAATATACTTAGTAGATGATTTAGCTCTTCAACCAACAGTGATTTCAACCCCGTCGATCAAATGTGCTGTGGCNCAGGGGGGGGGGGCAGGGTACAGTGCCACCTAGAACTGAAAATAGGGGGGTGGCGTAGCCCCCTAGAACTCAAAGCTATAACACTTTTCAAACCTGAAACTGAATAGTTTGCTAATTTTTTCTTCTAGTTTTTTTTGAAAGAGAGATACAGTAGTAATTGCAAGGTATTGGACTGTATGTGTAACTTTAAAGTATCTATGAAGCCAAATGTTTTTAATTTACAGTTTAAATTTTGCCCCCCCCCCCTCCCCATCGGGGCTCTTAGGGGGGAAACTTTTTTTGCGCTTCACACATATTGATGGTATTCAGTGAAAAAAAAATACTTTTTTGTTGAAAAAAGTATTTCTGAAAGTTTGAAATTAATTGTAATAAAGAAAGCTTTATACAGCCAATCTCATATATATGAGTACATAGCAAGAGCGCATGAAATGTCGTCTTAAAATTTATTTATAAATTTATGAAAGCTTTAATGCTTCATCATTGGTTTGCACAAAAAGAAACCTGCTGAGATGTTCGAGTTATGAAAAAATATCCAAATATCATTGTAGAACGTCATAAGTTTTTTGATAATTCTTAAGAAACTGCTTTTTATTTTTTAATTCAGTATAAGTTGATAGCCTAGAAATATGAAGGACAGCAACTGATATATTAAACTCGTTTTCCACGTTCAGAATACGACATTATAAAAAACTCTTCTTACGTATTCACATATCTGGGATTCATTGTATGAAAAGGGTTAAACTTGGATTTTTGTTTTAAATGTAGTCTTTGGTGCATATTATAGATTTTAGTTTACAGTTATTGAAGGGAATAATAGAATAATAAAAGTAACAAAAGAGACAAAATAAATTTCGTATTCATCTTTGAAGTCTTATCTTTTGCAAGACGACGATTCTCAGGCTAAAGTTAGGACTTTAAATAGTTCAATGAGCATAGGAAACAGCAATTGTGTAGTGAAAACCGACCCATTTCACTTGATTAGATGATTATATAAGTTTCTAGTAAAACTTTTTGCGTTGTAACAACATCAAATACACAATAGTATTCCATTAAAGTCGTCTTCCTATTTCAGAGTTTTCTGGTGATCGCTGTGGATTAAAATTTCTAAGGTCTATGAGAAGGGATTAGAACATCTGAGCTTGTAGCAAAAATTCAATTCCTTCAAAATGTAACTTTTAAAAACAGAAAATTTGTAAGAAAATTAACATGGAAACCATCGTCACAGGTATTCATTTTAACAATCAATAAACAATATCTATTTTTTTTATAAAAATCAACTAATTTTTATTGGTATCAATAATCATTTAATTTTGCAGGTTTATGATAAAGAATATTCATTTTAACTTTCTGCACTAATCTTAATCATGTTATATAAGACTTGATGATAAGATTTAAATGTACAAATATTTTTGCAACAAGAAAAGAAAACCCTATTTTCTTTGCCTGCTTTGAATTGAACACATGGCCAGCATAAAAGCAAACTTCTTAAATATGAGAATAAAAAATAAAGAATTTTATTTTATTTTTTTTTAAATTCTGTATTTTTTCAAATCATGTTGCGCCATTTTTTTCGATTCCTGAAATAATTAGAAAGTTTTGTTCTAGATACTAATTGTGTTCTAGATACCAATGGTGTTCTTTATCCCAAACTTGAACCTACGAACTTCATTTGGGCAGACGATGATATATTTGAAGGCTTTAAAAACAACTTTATTAAAGAGACTGTAGACTGTAGTCGTAATTTCAAGTGACTCTCCATTTATAGAGCGTCATGTCCGATTCACAACAGTACACTTGAATGTTTTTATCTGATAAACAATGATTGAGATATCAATGTGAACCCCTATAAAAATTGAGTTTTTATTAAAAGGGTTTTCTAGGAATAGGAAATAATCAGAAGTAAGTAATCTTCAAGCCATCTTCTAAACGACGATATTTTCCATATTATATTAAACAAATAAAAGATGAAAAAGTCCTGATGAGAATCTGTAAGTTAAAAAGAGGGTCACAATTGATATTGCAACGACATTTCCTTTTGTTATATATGATGAGAATATTAATAATAATGAAAAATAATAATAATAATAATAATAATGATAATAATAATAGTAAAAATAATAATAATTCTTAAAGGAAGATCCAAGTGCTCTATGCCCCCAGGAGATTCGTTTAACATGCTCAATATGATGAGGTTAACTTTAATATCATCTTTTTTTATCTTACTTTATTTATCATAAAAGTTGATGTAAAAAAAACACCATTCATTTTGCGGGATCACTACCTTATTTAATACTATCTTATTTAATTATGAATTAATAGTAAATTCAATTAAACTCATGAGCTTTTTAAAAATCATGCTAATCTCAATCGGCGTTAGCACAATTTATTTTTAAAAACAAATGGGCTGAAGCAATCAGAGGGAAAATAACAGACTTTTGATTGGTTGAAATTGGTGAAAGAAATAATTTTGTTAAAAACTTTTTTTGGTTGCATTGGTGAAAATTTTGAAATTAATGAATTATATAATTTTTATGTTTAGTGCCAGTATTCTGACTGTACATGCTATTATTTCTGCTGTTAACAGTCAAAACAACAACAATAACAACAACAATAACAACAACAACAACAACAACAACAACAATGCCAACACAAACTCTATCTCGGTGTCTGTCATGAATACCAACATGAACATGGCTGGGAAAAGGTAAAAAATATTTAAAGAAAGTTGAAATTACTATCAAAGTAATGAAGAATAGCATAAAACAGAATAAAAGTTAAACTAGAAATCAAAAATGATGAATAATAACAAAAACAGCAATTACAAACACAATCATGAACAGAAAAAGAACACCAATTACAAACACAATCATGAACAGAATCAGAACAGTAATTACAAACACAATCATTAACAGAATCAGAACAGCAATTACAAACATAATTATGAACAGAAGCAGAACAGTAATTACAAACACAATCATGAACAGAAGAAAAACAGCAATTACAAACACAATCATTAACAGAATCAGAACAGCAATTACAAACATAATTATGAACAGAAGCAGAAATTACAAACACAATCATGAACAGAAGCAGAACAGCAATTAAAACACGATCATGAACAGAATCAGAACAGCAATTACAAACACAATCATGAACAGAAGCAGAACAGCAATAACAAACACAATCATAAACAGAAGCAAAACATCAATTACAAACACAATTATGAACAGAACAAGACCTGAAATTACAAACACAATCATGAATAGAAGAAGAACAGCAACTAAAACACGATCATGAACAGAATCAGAACACCAATTATAAACACAATCATGAGCAGAAGCAGAACAGCAATTACAAACACAATCATGAACAGAAGCAGAACAGCAATTACAAACACAATCATGAACAGAACCAGACCAAAAAATACATGAAAGGCAAAAGCTGGGTTAAAACTTTGAAAAGAAAGATGAAAAATGTAAAAGGAATAAATAACTAACATATTAGAAAATGGCGATTATTGAAGAAAATATATAATTCAGGGAACTGAGGGATGAGACATATTTGAATGGTTTGAATTTTTTGCTCTCGGAGTTACAGGTTGAGTACAAAATATTAACAAATAAAAAAAGTGAATATTGCTATAATTAGCCCACTGTATTTCCGCCGTCCAAAAAGGATCCTTCCTCGTAAGTATTTCTTGTTTAAAAAGCTACTGTCTATATTCGTGTACTGCATGTGAACTTACTTATATAGAGGTATAAATCATCATACATAGGAAGTAAAACTGCATTTTTAAATAATACATACTTACAAGGAAGGATGATTGCAATATATGAAAGGACTGTTATCAAAATTTAAAGCAATCTCAGATTTGAAAAATGTCTTAAATCAAAACTCAGTGTAAACTGCAGAAGTGAATTTCAGTTTAGTTACAATCTTGTTTAAGCAAAACTCTTTCTTCAGAAAGATGTATTTAATATGTATTTTTTATTTTTATAAAAAATGAAACATTTTGGGACATGGCTTTCCCACAAATGCGATTTATCCTACAGTAAACTAAAATTTGTTTTCTATTTGGTTCCATGTTTTCAGACAAAACACATTTTTATAAGGAGATACAAAACACATTTTTATAAGGAGATACAAAACACATTTTTATAAGGAGATACAAAAACACATTTTTATAAGGAGATACAAAAACACATTTTTATAAGGAGATACAAAAACACATTTTTATAAGGAGATACAAAAAAGTTTAACACTTTGAATAGGGGAAGAAAACCCTCCGGTAGAATTTATATTTTGGTAAAAATTTAAAAGCTCTCCAGTAGAAATAATTTTCTCTCCACTGGATTTAGAACCCTCCGGTACTCTCTAGTAGTCTCCAATTATTATTGAAAACTTCAGTCTCTCCTTCTTTTAAGAATTGTCGCTAAAATAACGACGCTGTAATACAAAATGAAGCCCTTAATTTTTTTTTATCCTTTATTCAAGCTTGCTTACATACGTTTTGTCGTTACAACTTAATATTTTTCTCGAATAATAGAAATACTCATCTTAAACTCTAGTTTTCTAATCCCTGTATTAAATTAATTCCTTAGACCGTTGATTTTTCAAATCATGAAAATTGTTACATCAAGTAGTCAAAGATTTAATTAAAAAATGTTGTTGTAAAGATATAAGGATTAGAAAATTAGAGTTTGTGGTAAATCTTTGCTAGTCCAATATAGTAAACATTTAAATTCTTAATTAAAACAAACATACATGCATAAAATTGTACATTGTACAACTTCACTGTACACTAGGGATTGAGTATGTGTGCTTTAAAAAAGATTGTTGTTCATCTTGTACATGATCATCGCAATGACTCACTAAAATTAAGTAATAAGGTGAGTTTCTTTTAAGTATTTTCCTAATCTTATTCATGAATAATGATATTTATTGATGACTTATATATATTTCAATGATTCGAGTAATTATTTATTAAGTTTGAAACTTTTAAATAAATTTAAAATTCAAAATATTACCCAAAATTTTCTTTCACCAGTTTGAATTTAAATTTGAAAATCTTTCAGTCATTTACCAATAATTGACACCAAACCCTGTTAAAGGGACTGCAATTGTAATTTCAAATGACCCTCCATGTAAAGATGGCAATGCCCGATTTACAACGGTACCCTGAAAAGCTTTATCAGATCAAGTATGAATTACATATCCATGTTTTTGTTTCTTGAAAATGTTTATTTTTATTTGCGGTTCTTTGAGAAAATTGAGCAGCAAAGGGGTTTCAAGCAAATGGTTTGACACTAAAGGTCTCCAAAACAAAGTACAAGTATTTAGAAATACAAATATGAACTTGGACGAATTTTTAAACTGGGATTTTCAAATTGAACATATCTCGAATAAAATTGCTAGCTCAATCTTTAATTTGTCTCAAATTAGGAATATCTTACCAGTAAACATTCGTCTACTTGTTTTATCTCTCTTAGTTGTAAGGCCTCATATTGAATATGGAATTGTTACTTGGGGAGGGGTTAAAAACTTTAAACTGGAAAAAATCAGATCTTTGCAAAAAAGGCAATCAGAGCGGTTAATAATAGTACTTTCAAGGCACATTCAAATCCATTAATTTCAAAATTAAAAGTTCTTAATCTTGATGACATTTATGCATGGATACTTTAATGATAACCTTCCCTCCTCCTTCCAAAATATGTTTAAACAAAAATCTGGAAAGTTTTCTATCCGCAATGTTTCCTAAATTGTGGATTGCAATTGAAATTGACCTTAAAACTAAATCTGCAAAAATATTTAAACAATTAGAGTAGTCAATATTTATCTTGAGAACTATGAGAGGTTTAAATGCAAAAAGAGAAGTTGTTGTATATGAAGTAGATTTTATAAAAAAAATTAAACTTTTTAGCTTATTTCTGCTTGATTCCGCAACCCTTCACACCCTGTATTTTAATTTATCTCTACGGTAATGCCTCTGATCTCACCCTGCCACAGATTACCTGACAATCTCCTTCCTCCCAATCATCTCCTGTCCTATCCCAAAACATGATTTGATTCACGTTCTACGTATTCAATTATATTCATTATCATTAACTAACTAAGGGCCAACCACTCAAAACAACCTACCCTGGTTAGGCGGGTTCAAACTGCAAAGAAAATGTGATCGCCTATTTGTAATATCTCATGCTTTGTAGTTGAATAAAAACATGAAAATATGAAAGCGACTTGCAGATCTCTTGCTTATAAGAAGCAACGGAGAAATTATCAGAATTAAACGCTTTTTCAGTAATATCAAATGACCCTCTGCAGGAAAGATGGCAATGGCCGATTTACAACGATACCCTTAAATAAAGTGGGTTAAATATCCATGTTTTTGTTTCTTTAAACTATGACTTGCACATATCTTGCTTATTTGAAGTAACGGAGAAATTATCAGAAATAAACGCTTTTCGAGTCAGAAAAACGACGGTATCTTCCAAATTTTTGATCAGATTATGGTTTTAAAGTTACCGTTGTAAATCGAGCATTACCGTCTTCGCATGTAGGGTCACTAGAAATAACGCTTTAATAACTAAATCAGGATGAGTTAAGAAATCTACTTTTACCAATGCTGATTTCAAACATTGGAAATATAGAGCTCAGAAACAGTACTGAACTCAGGTGAACCATGATAATCAATAAAAATATATATGATCAATCCACAATCGTGATTAAACAATTATAATGAATAATTTAATTTCAACCATTGGTATTTACTATTTACTATTTACTAAAATATTTTTTACTTAAAAATTAAAAGGTTTTTCTCATATTTCAGTCAGTTGTTTCTGGAATCCGAGAAAAGTATGTACAACTGTGTACATGAAGCTGAACTTTGTGTATCCTGTAGGGCCCTCGCTCCGATCTCAATTCAACATTTTCTAGATATGTTAACCTAGGCATTTTTAATATTTTTCTTGTGATTCATTTCAATAAATGAGTTAAATATGAATAATTATTACACTAATTTATTTCTGGGTGGATGATGCAGGGAGAGTACTTCAGACTTCAGAGACGACTGTACGGAATTTACACTCTTTGTTTCCCTATTTTAATGATTCCCTGAAGCTATAATGTTTTTTTTCTTTGCTAAATCATTAAATAAGCCATTTAAAGATGACATTAGGCAGAAGACTTAATTTGAACTTGGGATCGTCAATTTTGAAGAGGTCAATTGTCGTCTTTACAATCTCATCCTTTGTACGTTCTCATCCCTGTACGTTACTCTATGTTCCCATCCCTGTACGGTACTCGATGTACGTTCTCATCCCTGTACGTTACTCTATGTTCCCATCCCTGTACGGTACTCTATGTACGTTCTCATCTCTGTATGTTACTCTATGTACGTTCTCATCCCTGTACGTTACTCTATGTACGTTCTCATCCCTGTACGTTACTCTATGTACGTTCTCATCCCTGTACGTTACTTATGTACGTTCTTATCCCTGTAGGTTACTCTATGTACGTTCTCATCCCTGTACGTTACTCTATGTACGTTCTCATCCCTGTACGTTGCTCTATGTACGTTCTCATTCCTGTACGTTACTCTATGTTCTCATCCCTGTACGTTACTCTATGTACGTTCTCATCCCTGTACGTTACTCTATGTACGTTCTCATCCCTGTACGTCACTCTATGTACGTTCTCATCCCTGTACGTTACTCTATGTTCTCATCCCTGTACGTTACTCTATGTACGTTCTCATCCCTTTACGTTACTCTATGTACGTTCTCATCCCTGTACGTTACTCTATGTTCTCATCCCTGTACGGTACTCTATGTACGTTCTCACCCCTGTACGTTACTATATGTACGTTCTCATCCCTGTACGTTACGCTAGGTTCTCATCCCTGTCCGGTACTCTATGCACGTTCTCATCCCTGTACGTGTTACTCTATGTACGTTCTCATCCCTGTACGTTACTCTATGTACGTTCTCATCCCTGCACGTTACTCTAGGTTCTCATCCCTGTACGTTACTCTAGGTTCTCATCCCTGTACGTAGGTTATTCTATGAATTTGAAAAGGGGAATTTAAGCATATCAAAAACATGGGTCAAATCATAAAATAAAATATGATTTTGTCTATAATACAACATTAGGATATATTTCATTTATCTACAGTTTACATTGATTTTAATGGACGATATGATATATAAAAATATGCATAAAATTAGCAAATAAAGCAATTGTTTTAAGTTGCAACCACTTTTTTGTACATCAAAAAAATGTCGATCTTACGACTTTTTGAAAATCCATCATCCATTGAAAAATTCCTTCTTTAAAGGAATTGCTATCTGTTAGATTAAATGAAATTAAAATGCCTGGTTTTTGAAAGCTGAATGAACTGTCCCAAATATAATTTACTATATGTCCTGTGACTAGTTTTTATTTTGTATGCCATATATATTTATAAATGTTTTGTAATCTTAACCATTGTACCGCTATGTGTAAGAAATAAATATCTATATATAAATTTGGCTTGTTTGTCTGTCTGTTTGTTTGTCTGTTTGTTTGTTTGTATCCAATAAACGTCAAAACGGCTGAACCGATCGGGCCCAAATTTTTTGTGGGACATCTAGGGAGCCCAGGGAAGGTTTATGAATCATCAAAATTTCAAATATTTGTCTCTATCAAAATTCGATCGTCATTAAATTTTTTAAAATTTTGAAAATCCGCGAAATTTTTTGTGAAAATCCGCGAATTATTTTTGTTTAGTTTTACGATGTACACAAAGAGAACATGTTTACAATTAATTTAGAAGATGGGCGCGAAGCGCCCTCTAAGGCTAGAAAGAAGGGCGCGAAGCGCCTTGAATTTCTAGTATAATAAATATACAGTGGGTGCCAAGTGGACGGCCTGCCGCTCTGTACCCGACCCTAAACTTGTGAAGGGGCTCCCCCTTCTACAATTTTAGATACACATGTACACTACATATATTGCTTTATCCAATCTGAGCTGAAAACTTTAGAATGAAATATCCAGAGAAGCTCATACTTTCTTGATATCCAGATTAAATATTGCTTGTTCTCCACATGAATTTAAACTCCAGATTAATTATTCGACGGGATATCTGGATATTTCATTCTAAAGTTTTCAGCTCAGTTAACATACACAAACACGGGCGTAAAAAAATCGACCATGGAAAATTTTTTAAATCGGTGATTTTTAAGTGTTAAATATCTATCAATATCTTTCTTCATTTGTTTAAAAAAAAATTACACCTAAATTTGTTTCTGATAAACGCAGAGTACAGTACCCACCGACTACCGACAAGCATTAATTTTTACAAATATTATTGGAAAGAGATCCGAATAAAAATTAATAATTCAACCATCCTCAAAGACGACATTTCAAAAGTTCGTAGACTACAGTACAAGAAAGTCAGCTCAACTGTCAGCTGATAATTTCTCAATAATCTCTGATGTCTGAAATCTGAATACAGTTTTCTTCTCTATTCTCATGTATGAATACAGGAATTGACTAGGGGTGAAAAAAACTTTTGTTGTGCGCTACGGGAACCTTTTGTTTTAACTACTTACCCCCTAAAATGTCTTATCCGGGAGCATGGATTTATTAACTAGTTAAAAATTCAACAGTTTTCTGTTACACCTCTTTTTTAAGCTGTAGGACTTACAGTCACAATCACATCGCATATATTTATATCTCATTTTTTAAAGGCAAAGCTCACAATACTGAATTGAGCACGAATTTGAATTTTCAGAATTTATCGCTATTTTCCGTAGATCACCCCTAAAGCTAAGATTCATTCAGGGGTGAGCGGCCGCTCCATGGCTTATCCTTGCATCCAGCCCTGTCTATTTTTGGGTCTGTCCTAGTATACGATTTTTGGAGGGCCGAGCGCTGCGGCTAGGACAGGCTAAGGGGCCGAGTGCCGCGGCTAGGACAGGCTATTGGGCCGGCCGCTGCGGTCACATGCCAATTATATCCATGTGTTACATATGAGATCCATGTACGAAATTGATAGGAGGGGGGCGTTCCAAAAATCGTATATTAGGAAATTACCCACTAATCTACAAATATTTACGATTAAATCAGTGAAAAATTAACAATTTGAACCATTATTTTTGCCAAGGAAACAATGCAAGGAAAGTTAATTGCTGTTGCGTATTTTCTACGTACATGATTGAAACCAGTTCTCTCTGGGCGGTGATTGTAAACAAGAAAATATCAGATGATCAGTGTTACTCTACTCTCTAGTATCCGAGAAGGATAAAAGCTTTTTAATTTGATAATTTTGATAATTCACACAATAGTTTCCGAAATTTCCTAAAGAACTTTTTTATGACCACCCCCTGCCTCCCCCCCTCATATCAATTTTGTACGTGAACCTCATATGTAACACATGGATATAATTGGTCATGTGGCCGCAGCGCCCGGCCCCCTAGCATGTCCTATTTGCGGCGCTCGGCCCCCTCGCCTGTTCTAGCCGCATCGCTTGGCCCCCCCTTGCCTGTTCTAGGCGCAGCGCTCGGCCCAGAAATGTTCTTACCTAACCTACCCCTAAAATAATAATTAAATAATAGTTTTACTGAAAATACAATGGTAATGTACAGAATTGACAGGGGGGTTCCAAAAATCATTCTCTAGGACAGATCCTAGGTTCCTATAAACAGAATATTTCATTAAATTTTTTTGTGAAAGATGGATCCCATGTCAGGCTGTGACATTCGTCTTGTGTTTACTTTAGAGTCAGTATACTGCAGTACTAAAAATGCGTATACCTCTGATCTTTACATTATAATTCTTTGATTATTTCCAACATCTTAAATTGCCCTAAAAATTATATCGATATGAGTAAGTATTTATTTTCTTTCAGATCTGAACATGTAATCTCAGTAAAAGTCCTTGAAAAGAGAAGAAACGCTCAAATATAATAGTTATTTAAAGGATATTGTCCATTATGCAGATTGGTAGATAAAGGTAGTTTTATAGATTAATATTATGTTTAATACTTTATTAACATTTAGGTACAAAATTGATAGGGGGGGG